ATCTGGGGGAGGTGACCTCAAGCAAGGAGTGGCCTTTGAACCGGCCATGGAAGCAGATCCGGTGGGCATGGTTTGCTCTTCTCGGTCATGAGCCATGGGGATGATTTTGGCAAGGAAAGGCTGCCTAGAAGTGAGTCCCGGGCACAAGCCGAACAGACCTACACACATAAAAAAAAAAAAGAAGAAGAAGAAGAAAGGCAGTCAACCAACAGTCACAAGAGGAGTCTCGGCAGTGGGAGCCACCAGACATGAGCAAGACAGTGTTTTGTGAATAAAGTGTGAAAGAAAAGTAGCCAACAGCTACCTGTGAAGCAAGAAGAGTCTCCGGGGGGACCACTGAATGGAGCAGATCTGGACAAGCAAAAGAAGAGAGTGCAGTCGGCAGTAGATCTTGAAAGTTGAAGGAAATGGGTTGCTGATTTTGGGTGAATTTGGAGAAACAAAATAAAAAAAAAATTGAAGAGTGCAACCGGCAGTGACTAGAGTTTAATTTGAAGGTTAAAGGAGATGCAAAATGGAGTAGATCTGGGTGAAGCAAAATAAAATGGAAGGAACAGTCGGCTGCAAGGTGATGGTGGCCCGAGAAGATGATGAAGGTAAAGTGAAAGTTAATCCTTTAATTTTCAAAGTGTCCTTTATTTTTTGGGATTTGTTTTGAAAATTAATGGAGGAGACTTTTCAACGGGCCACTGACGGTAATAAAAAAAAAGAAGAGTGCAGCCGGCCATGATTCAAAGGAAAAGAAAAGTAAGTTTGACTTTTCTTTATTTTTGGGTTTTGAGAATTAGATAAATTTTGAAAAAGGAATGGCTGGGGTTTATCTAGAAAATTGCTCCAGGAGATATTTGTGAAGTTGTCTTTAAAGGGGATTCGACATGTGGCATAAGTAACTGTGGTGTGGGAGACAATTTATTTAATTAAAACACTTGGATTTATTTTTATAAAACCAAGTATTGGGGGCATTGTTTACACCATAAATTGTAAAATTTTAAGTTAATGCCACGTGTAAAATTTTTATTGGCTGGAGGAGTTTGGAGCCATGTCAGATTCGGATCCTGGGCCCCATGATAGGTCAGCACATGTGTTGGCAAGATGAGAGAGATAAAGATAATGTTGAGTAATTATCTTTTGAAACAGAAAGAGATAATGGCAGTTAGCAAGATAGGGGAGGATCACATTTAAAAAGGGGATTTTATCTGATAAAGTCCAGGTGGCAAATTCTGAAAGGGGTTTAGACTGGGTCAAAGGGTGAGGTGTCCCATTACTCCAACAAACTTCCGATGGTTGAGCAACTGCCGGCATGAATGGGGAACAAAAAGGAAACTTCGGCACAGAAGGAGGGACGGCCAGCCCTACTCAAACAATTGCAACTTTTCATACTTTGATTTTCTCTGCACATGCTTCCAGATTTCGGTTTTTCAGCATAGATTTCGTATTTCAGCACAGATTCCATTAGAATTAGGTTGTTTTTCCTTATTCCAGTAGACAAATTTATTCCTATATTCAGTTAAAACAATTTTCCTTCATGCAATGAACTTCAATCCTTCAAGTTTATGCAA